CGGTACTGTCGCGTTTAAATTCAGTCCACTATGGTGCCCACCAGCACCATCGAATAAAGCGGTGCATTGTCTGCCAAAGTAGACTACAGTTCTTCAGAAACGCTTTTGTAGAAAAATTTTCAGGCAGAAATATTTAATAACCGCATAAAATGCGACTTTCTCCATTTTGAAAACGAATCAAATTCCCGCCAAATGAAGAATAAAAAAAATTAATTAAGATTTTTCTATCCTTGGCCACTGACGAATATAAGATTCGAAAAAAAAATAGAAGGCATTCTACAACTCATTTATGTGTGTCCTATTCCGAAAACTTATTGATCGAACTAGTCTTCGGCGACATTATTGTGGACGACATTTGATAGAATTTGCGCAAGATCGGAAATAAAATACATTTCGAAGATCCGTCAGCACAATCTGTCATGACACGGCGGACCCTTATGCTCCTTTATCTTGTTAATAATAAGAAAATGTCATCTTAGGTTTTGAAAGGTTCTAATAAAGTATTACTCGTACTCGTAGTTAATCTATTTAAGCGAAATCGCATACTTTAGAGCAAATAATGTTTTAAGTAATTTCTCTCTGTTTTTCTAAATTGTCTTTAGCATTTTTATTTTTCGAGTAAACTTAGGCATTTTTGGTAATTAAACGCGGTCATCACCTCTATTAAGTAACTCTTTTATGTAGACTCTATGCCGAATTTTGTATTAAAACATTCAAAAGTTACAGGACGTTAAAGATGGCTTCTCAGTTCAAACACTTGAGTTGAGCAGCTACTTAGAACTGGATAAATAGTCTGTAATGGTTTTTCCTAACTAATCAACTATTTTTAAAATGTTAAAGCATCATTTAGTGTTTGATAATTTAATTTTTTACATGTTTACATTTGTAGCTTAATAAAATACTACAACTTTACCAATTTGTCTGGTTTCAAAACTTTTTATGCGGCTTCTCAGTCCTAGCGTTTCTATTAGAAATATTCTTATATACGTATCTGAGAAGACTGTCAATCAAATCGAAAAACAATAACACGGAGATTTGAGTAGAAAATTCTACTAAATACATTGTAATTGTACATAGTACATTAGCCGTATTTCTAAATAAATACAGTATTGAAGAGTTCCATAACCGATCCGTGGGGTTCACGTGCGGTATAGCCATTCAGCGAGGAAACGCAACTGGCGTTCTTGGCATGATACCACGGGGAGTAGGACTATATGATAATATAAGTTTATAATTTTAGCTGTTTTATTACAGCTTTTTAATATTATATACATTACAATGTCATGTAAATAAATTAATGTGCTCCTGCTGTTTTATAATAGTTAAATAAAAAATATCATATAAAAATATGGTGAAACGTGGAAAGTGAACATTTAAAAAATTTGCTCGATTATATTGACATACAATACAATTAGTCCTGACTTTCATAATTTTTTAAATCTTATATTTTGGCTACATATTTTATAAAATAAAGCAAAGAATATAATATACGGATTAAAAAACAACAAAAAGTAACAAAAAGATTTTTTTGCATCGGCCGGGAATCGAACCCGGACCGCCCGCGTGGCAGGCGAGCATTCTACCACTGAACCACCGATGCTTATGCTGGTATAGTGAAATCAAATATTATATTGTTAAATTGTTCGCTATAAAATTACATAATAGTTTCGGTTTATTACATTCAGCATGTAGCCATAATTATTATAATGTGAATGAATCTTTACTCTTCAACCTTGCTTCAACAAAGATAACATCAGTTTAAAAACAGAACTCATATTTACTTCGACGATCCTAAATCGGCTATCATTGAATGGACGAATGGCGAAAAAGTAGATTACACTTTTAATTAAAACTTCCTTTGTTTTTGTTATCCACAGTGTTTGCTGGGTGATTTTTAGAAATAAATGTAGGTATGCAAAAATGTATTCCATTCATTTATCAATGGTCACATATGTAAAACTAGGCCCTATGCAGATGCAGAGGTAAAACCTTTTGCTAGCATCATAAACGGAGCGGGGTAAAAGTCTAAAATCATAACTAAGTATCTTTATTTCAACAAAAGATTCAATCAAATGGTGTGACATTGCACAGATTTAAATTAGCGAATTGATTAGATAGTAAAAGAAAAATTCAAATTCAGATTTTTATTGTTTACAAACCGACAGGGTTTGCATTGAGCTACAAATATTGTCGAAAAAATTATGATTGGCCTACGGGTACGTGTTACTATTGTTTATCCTGTGCGGTTACGGAGGAGATGGATTTCAAAGAATCGTTTTCTTGCGCCATGGGAGCTCCGCTCGCTTCGCTCTCTCCGCTCCACCAATATCTATACATATTAATAAAATCGAGGTTGTATGTCTGCAACATCGGAATGACTGTCTTTTATTGAGGTTATACGAGATAATTCGTATGCCATTTAGCCATGAATAGTCATGTGTAGAATTTTAGTCCGTCTGTCTGTCTGTCTGTCCGTCCGCGCTAATCATCGGAATGACTGAATCGATTGCGACGAAAGTTAACGAACTGATAGAAAGCAATGCCAGGAGTGATCTAGGATATTTAATCCAAAACATCCAACTATCATTGATGATTATTTCAAAAACTCCAAATGACTCAATATAATAGATCCCATCCAGGCGAAGTCGGGGCGCGTCGCTAGTAATAAATTTAGTGTAAAGTGGTGCAAGAAATATGCAAATTATAATTTTTTTACATTACGACTATACGTTTTTTGAATGTATGACCATAATATAGTGGTGGTGTAAGAATTTACACTCCTCCATATAGTAAGTGGGTGTAGTAAGAAGAGACAGCGGAAAACAAACGGAGATGGACGGCAATGTCTTCCTAGTTCAAGCGTGACAAATATTTCCATATGAGGCAATCTTGTGGGAAAGCCTATATCTGTGGATTTTAGTTGATATTACAAAAATAAACAAAATCAGACTGCGATATTCAAATAACATAATAATAATAATATAATGTCCTCCAGACCGAATTTCGGTCACGGCGGCCTGCCTCAACGGAGACTAGCCATCGGCGCAGGACAGGATTATAGTGCCCAAGTGTAAGCGCAAGCACAGGTGCACTCTCTATTCCCTCACTCTCATAATCCGATGGGACGGTAAACCGACACGACCGGAGAGAGTTCAAGCGTAGGACCAACGGCTTTACGTGCTTTCCGAGGCACGGGAGTGAAACACCGCCAACTTATTGACTCCGGGCAGCTACTGGGAATTTCTTGACAGAAAAACTCAATAATTGATTTTTTTGGCCTGACCTGGGATTCGAATCCAGAACATCATGATCAGCAGTCGCACTACTACAACCACTAGACCAACGACGCAGTCATACTCGTAATAAAAAAGTTTAAAAAAAATAACATAATAATACCTATAGTATTTATTCATATATACACCCGAAAAACCCAAAAAACAAAACAGGAAAAATTTAAAGCCAGATACACGCCATAATTCCGAATGAACGAATAAAGCTTCAAGAAACAATGGCTGCGTTTGGCAGAAAAAAGCGCTAGCAAGCGCTTGTAAGCAAAATGGCGATCGTAAGCGGTAAGCGCTGTCAAATCGTAAGTAGCTATTTTCCTCTAGGACACGAATTTAGCTTTAACCGGGGAACCTAACCTAATTTAAATATATGTTTGTAAAGTATTCATATAAAAAAATTACCAATCATGAATTTTTAATAGCATGTATATGTTTATTCATGTCATTATATTACTTAAAATTAATATTGCACAAAAAAACTTATAAACTCTACTTCAAAACAAACAAATTAAATAAGCAAAACGGCGGATTGTGTCAGCGCTACTGAAGTAGCAATCGTGTCCTGGCCGAAAGCTATTTTAGCGCTTGTAAGCGCTTGCTAGCGCTTTTTTCTGCCAAACGCACCCATTGAGAAACCACTTCGAGACGCAAAACATCTGCCACTACCGCATAACAGGAGGTCGTATTAACCAACTGTTAAGTGGTCTACAAACAAAACTTGATGATTACACCCTTAATGATTTTTGTATTTTAACTCTTACCAGTGCTGAAACAGCTAGAATAGTTTACTTTAGTTATTTCCGTAGCATAATGTCGTATGGTATTTTGCTATGGGGACACGCGACTGAAACTGAAATTATATTTATTTTACAGACGAGGGCCATTAGAGCAATATGTAATTTAAAACCAAAAGAGTTACCGAAACAAAAATTTAAGGAGATTAATATATTAACTCTGGCCTCTCAACACATTTATGAAAATGTAATGTACGTACACAGAAATAAGTGATATTCATTCTAGGTTCATTCTGTAAATACTAGGAACAGGCACAAGCTATTAGTTAGTACCAGTTACTCGACTCCACCGAGTCAGAGAATTCATTCTTGGAGCGATGTATACGCTTTTAAAACAAAATCCCATAAAATATACAAAATTTGTCATACGCAAAGATCAAAAATTTTATTAAACTAAGTGTGTATAAAAAGGTTTATTATAATATTAAGGAATTTATGGGTGATAATAACCTCTGGGAAGAGTGATCGCTACCAAGCTATTTCTAATTTGTCTTGTGTTGTTAATTGCAAAAATAATTGTAAGCTATTATTTGAAAAAAAAATAGTCCGGCTGGGTTTCTTGCAGGTTCTTCCCAGGACAGAGATATTTTTTGCGAACCAGTATAAATGAAAAAAGTGACTTTCAATAAGTATTGTTTAATAATTTACATTGAATAAAAAAGTTTCTGTTTCTGTTTCTGGGTATTCTTACCCGCCATTACACAGGGAAAATATAACGGTGATCAATAAACAAATAACTAATTTTGAAAAAGAATTCCAAGTTTTTAAAATAAAATTAATTTGAAATTAGAATTCTTAGTCAAACAAAACTCATTTTGATTTGAAATAGCCAGTACTGCAGAACGGCAATTTCATAGGTAATTTTTAAATTAATCTGTTTCTCTCATCGATGTAAAAAAATTTTTTACGATTGTGACAGATGCTGAAGTCGTGCCGCCAGCTGACAATGACGGTGCGGACGGCTGGTGCGCTGGTGGGTCGCGCGTCGTGTTCGTGGATGGACCGTTACGGGAGACCCGCCTCGCCGCCACCACAGCGCCCAATCCGCTCTGCTAGCAAAGATCGCTCTATACGCAGGGTAATATTATTTAGAGCCCATTTATCAGTCTTGAGATAAAATTTATTTATAGAATAAAATAGAACATAAATGAATTGAAAATTACAGTTGTATGAATAAAATAGTTCAATCGTTGCGCTTTTATATACAGTCAGGTTATAATTTATTCGAAGGCTAACTTTTATCTCAATATTGATAAATCGACCCTAAGAGAGAATATGTAGTAGAATGATATTCACAGCCTGAAGCAAAACAGACTAGATAGACTCCGCGCGGTGACTAAGTTGTTCTAAGATACACAGAGGTGTAAATTATTAAAATAATCTATGGTGTTGTTTATGAAATGTAAATCGAACCGTTTCTGCTGAATAACCGTTCGTCACAACTTTTTACTTGCCTGATTTAAGATGTTTGCGCTTCCTCGAATGTCCTTTTTTTGTTGATATTTTGACACACGTAGGAATGAGATTATGGTCTCTGCATCTCTTAAAGAAATTTAAAGATGTTATATATCTTGCGCGCTTGGTTTTAAGATCTTCTAATCGAGAGCGAATTTTTAATTATTAAAATAATATTAATAATTATAAATTATTATTATTATTAACTGAATGATCAACAAATACGGCAATGTGACGGAGAAATGCTCATTAGATACATTTTTTTTGTATGAGGGGGCAAACGAGCATTCGGCTTCCCTGGTAAGTGACTACCACCGCCTATGATCAACTGCAACACCAATGAAATTGCAGCATTTAAAAACGGGTAGGTTCTTTTTTGAAAGTGCTTCGGTCGCATCGGTTTGGAAAATCGCCTGTGGTAGTCGGTTCTACAAGGAAGTTGTGCGAAGAAGAAAACTTCTAGTAAATCGGATTGGACATTGTCATTGACACAACACAACATTGACATAAAATGGACCGCTAATTATCCATATGGTATGAATGGTATCTCGAATTTTGTCACGATGTGCGATGGTTAAATTGAGCGGCTGGAATTAGTCCGAAAAATTCCTCTGAGCATTCCTCATGATAGATACGATAAAGTGTATCGACCTTTTGCTTTAATTCGTTTAGTTGGAACACGATTATGAGGATTCTGAATCCTAATGTCACTTGTAATGAAAGTAAATGTCAAATGACAATTAATAAGAAAAACTGATACATGTCCCCCATTACGTCACAAATAAGTTTTATTGACTCAATTTGTGTTAGGGGCACAGTTTTTCTCATTAATTGTCATTTGACATTTACTTTTCATTTAAGTTTGTAAGGAACTTTTTTTATTGCCTACGCATATTTGCTTCACGGGGCAAGGGACGAGTTTCGTCTATTATGTTCCACCATCACCACATATGTGGAATAACCACAGGATCGCTTTCGTGTATGTGCGCGGTCCCGTCAGCGCCGATCGTCTCTTAGCAGCCCCTCCGGCAGGGAACAATTCTTCCCCCTATGCCTACAATGCAAATCGCCCCGGAACTCAAGATGCGTTTCATCCTCCATCTCTATTTTGATTTCTAGCTCGTTTATCACGCTACTAACATTAAACATTTATCGTCTTCATTTTGTTGATCAAATAAAGATAAGTCTGATTGGATAATAAAATTAATGTTGTGTTAAATATGCTGGTGTAGTTCCTGGCTTACGTGTCCTTGGTTATTACAAATTTTGTGTCAACTTTTTATCTGATCCCGCAAGTTATGATTCCAGGTGTCTGCCTATTATTAGGTATTCTTTAGTTTAGTTATGCGCCTTGGGGCGGAGACATAAGAAGATCTTTCACCCCCTCACATCCCATCTCTAGGGTATTTTAAAAACTGACTTAACTAATTGCCCGGGAGATTTTGTGGCTTCCACGATGATGATACTCATCCTTACCATAAGATGTACGAATCCCAGACCGGCGACGAAAAGTAAACATATCTGACGTTTGGTTCCGTGAGCACTATCCGGTATGCCATATGTGGCATCTATAACGAATCCCTTCTACTATAGGAGACGCCTACTGCTGCTGGTCATGAGCTGTTTTTAGCATTAAAATTGATAGCATGTATAAGACAGAACAAATATATTTTTTATTGCGTAAGGTTAACCTTTGTATGTTTGTTCTTTTTTGAGTATAAATGAAACTTCGATAAGTGTAATCCTTATAAATTATAGATGACTACTTACATAGTTACAATGTATATGAATAGGATTCCACATTCAGTGGCATCCTTATAATAACCACTTACATAGGAATTCTCGTAGAATTACCTAGTTCTAGCGACCTTCATCTTTAAGCTTATCATTGAATTGTTGCCGCTCTAAATGGTAACGAAAATTGTATTTCTTTATTCCTTAGTCTTTTTTATCTCTTATTCTACCTCTTTTTATAACCCTTTGTCAAGTTTATTTAATATTATACCTAGGACTTAAATTTTAAATAAATTGGTTAAAATAATATATAACTTTTCTAGTTTCTGGGTATTTAGTTATGAAAATATTAGGTTACAGTGAGTATGTTTTAAAAAAGAAATACTATAGCGAATATGTTATCTTGTAAGAGTACTCATCACTACAGTTCTTAACAAGTCTTTTTTTAATTAAAGTAGGTGTGACAAACAGGTACCCGGTGGTCCCTTTTATCCTCGATTTAAAACAAAATGCAGATGTGTTGTCACCTCTGAGGACTAGGATGAAATGACTCGTTACTATTAAATAGGATCTCCTGTTTTCTACATTCATCATACGAAACACGTAAGTTTTATGCTACTATTCTGTGAGACCGTGAGCCTACCCCGGTCGAGCCGATCCATTCGTCCTGCAACCCTAATACAGCAACAATGTGAATCTACCTCGTACAAAATTACTGGAAAAGAGAGCTTACCTAAGAAATGGTACAAAACGCGGTCCTGAGATACCTGCACCCGTCGACTTCGTGCATGTCATATTAGGTCATCACGCCATCTAGTAGTGGCGCCTCCCTACACTTCACTTTACTCGCTGCTGATTACACAGGACAAATTGATTGTCCAGTGCGTGTCGCCAGTGATGGGATACGGATCTGAGACCTTGCACGCTGCAGATATATTTGCTGTAGCACGAATGGACCGGCTCAGCTGGGGTTGGACCACGCTCTCACCGAATACCAGCTCAAAATAGCAGTTTAAGGCTGCTAAGTTAAAGACGTGGTTTTTCGATGCTGGCCGCAGAAGGAAGCTAAGCTTAGAGTTTCCCTACGCAATAGACTTCGTAATGATGATATCTGCAGTAGAACCAGCATCAACCGATGAAAAGAAAGTTGTCTTTAATTTAAAGATTTTATAATCATATTTTTATACCTACGTGAGTATTATCTATTAAATAAAAGTAATATTACAGATTTTTCCGCTTTTATTTATACTTATATTTAAAAACCCCAGCGTTGAAAATTTTTAATTTTATTTACTCGCAAGTTAATTACGAGCAAGGACACAACAGTTCAATTAAAACATGAAAATTGGTTGACGAATGAGAAACGTCTGTTTGTGTGTCTAATTATTACATATTATATTATAAGGTTGTACTTACTGATGTGATGAAATCTTATTATTATTATTATTGAAAATTACCGTGTAGTGGCGGTATAAAAATATACACTAACACATATCAGGAATGACCCACGAGACCTGATTTATTTCCCTAAGTCACCTTTTAAGACACCCACTCGGGTGTCTTAAAAGGTGACTTAGGGAAATAAATCAGGAGATGGGCATCAGAGTCTTCCTAAAAACGATCAAAAATATAAATTGTGGTTACTAAGCGTGGCAACTATGGAAAATATCCCCTCCTCCCATGAGGCGATCTATTGGGCAGGCCTAGTTCAGTAGTGTACTTTAATAGGCTATAACGGTGATAGATGAAATTTTCAATTGATAAGTTCTAAGAAAATCCATGTAACAATATGAATGATTACGATGGTGTTGGAGCTAATTTTCAATGAGTAGGTAATTGCGAATTGTAAAGCTCCATAAATTTTATGCCTCGTAAATGCACGATAAGTATCCTAAAACGACGGAAACTCAAAATGGTGAGACGCAATGGCATGCAAATCGTTGTCCATTGGCCATTAAATGCCAACTTTAGCAGCTGTAACAGCAGGCACGAGGCTGGCCATCGATCGATATGACGTCACTGGGAAGCTCTGAGCTATTAAATACCATTCAGAGAATGTAGGTAACCGCATTCCCGATTTAATGAGAATATGAAAAATGTTTTCTACAATCTTTCTATTGTAGGAAGAATTTGTTATATGATTTCTTTTTGTCTTTCTCTAGGTTTCCGACTTTTGTAATGCAATCATTCATCGAAGGGACATGAGGGTAATATCCCTTACCTCACCTTCACCTTAAGCTTTGTCGCCCTATAAAACCAAAACTAGGAAGAGATTAGATACAAAAACACAAAGTCGTATACGATAACTAATATATTAATAAAAAATAGCAAATAAGCTTTGGCAATAATTAGGAACACTGTAAAAACTAACTACATTATGCCATATTATAATCGACTAAAATATTTACTATAATATCAACTACTTATTAAAATGGCGTCGATAAAGCTGCGTCTTTTTAACTCTTTATTATTTTATTGATTGATGAAGAGCTATCGTATCATATAGAAAACTATGCAAACAAGGTTGTAGTTTTTAAGTTATAAAAAAGCGACCATATTAACCGGATGACCATATTACCCTCACGTACTTCATTTATTACAGACTACCAAGAGCCCACTGCTGAACACACCCCCTCCTCCCTTAAATGTTATCATAGGGGGGATTCTGCCATAGTTGCCCCGATTGGCTGATGGGTTGGTAACCACTGTTTTTTTTTTTGTATTATTCTTTGGTTGGTATCAGAAAAATGCTACTGTTCATCAGCAGTAACAATTTGAGTTTCCTTCTCTTGGCGCTTTATTACACCCACAGGATTATATAGTGCAGACTGCAGTAGATATTCTTACGTCACCGCTACACAGCGAACTACATTGTATTGTATTACAGGAGTCGCAGAAAGGACTCGTTTTTTACGTTGTAGTAGCACGAATGGGTCGGCTCGACCGGGGAAGGACCACGCTCTCACAGAATACCAGCGTGAAATAGCAGCTTAATGCTGCTGTATTTCGTATGGTGAGTGTAGAGAACCGGAGACCCTTTTTATTCCAGTAAAAAACGAGGCATTCCATCTCAGTCCTCACGGGTGAGAACGCATCTGCATTTTGATTTGTAATCGAGGATAGATGTGGATGTCCATGGGCCGCAGCAATCACTTACCATCAGATGGACTGTGTGCTCATTTGTCACCCTATCCTATAAAAAAAGGAATAATAATACGCCTGATTATTTGTTGTTTGCTTTACTACTTTTATAGCACGAAAAAGCTCCTCAATTATTATTGCAGTCGTTTAAATAATATCACACAATGGTGGTAGCCTATCATAGAATACTATAATACATACATAATAGAATGGGAGAGTGGGCGGAGCCCACGCAGCCACTAAAATGTCACTAACACGTCAATTCACACGTATAAATGTCAACACGAGATGTGTTTTGACGTTACAATCGTTTCAAAATTTCGCATGCAAATTATTTAGAAAATGACAAATTGCACCCTATTTACAAATAAATATGTATTAAAATTTAATGATGATCTTGAACATTAATCAAAAGTCTAAAATGTGTAAATTTACTCAGTCTGTCAATCCAACGAATCGGGTTTGGCGACGCCAATTCTAGTTTAAAATAAAGTTGAAAGCCATTTTATTGTGTATTATAGTATGCTATGGTAGCATATCCCTACTACCTATCAAAATTGAACCTAGCAACAGTTCGAATGTGTGAGAATTATACAATCCAAATACTTTTATAGTATTAAAATAAGTAAACCATTGTTATAAATATTACTTATAAGTTAATTAATTACAGATGTTTAGAAAATGAAATTACTTGTATAATATTCTTATATAGTAATTTCATTTATATTCTTATATAGCAAATCTCTCAAATTCTAAATTAAAAATAAACTGAGAATATTATCTATGAAAATTAAGACAGTACAAGGACTTATAATCTATTTTATATTTGTAATTTTTTAAAAGAATATAACGATAATTACACAGTTATTATTTTAAATGATTCAAAATAGGAATTATTTAACAATCACTGATAACAATTGTAATAAACTGGGCTCGTTCGTCACCCTATTTCTACAAAAATTAATATGTAAAATATTACTACGTTACAAAATACAAATGTAATTTCCAGTATGAAGATTGGAGACTACGGATTTAAAAATATTTGCAACTATGGAAATTTTCTTATTTTTCATCGGTCAGATTAAGGATGCGGACTGCAAACTCATAAAGTCGTGAGATGAAATCCGCTATTCGACTACTTTCGTGAACCACTCCAGTCATTAGCATTTGAAGCTTACTTTGAATTGTTAACGGGAGTATTACAAATTAATATTATTAACGTTACTTGTATTCTTTGACTGCCTTGTTGGTCTAGTGGTTGTAGTAGTGCGACTGTTGATCCTGAGGTCCTGGGTTCGATTTCCGGGTCAAGCCAAAAAATCAATTATTGAGTTTTCCGTCAAGAAATTCTCAGTAGCTTCCTGAAGTCAGGAAGTTGGCGGTGTCTCACTTCTGCGGCTCGTAAAGCACGTAAAGCCGTTGGTCCTGCGCCTGATCTCTCTCTCTCTCTCTCTCTGGTCGTGTCGGTTTACCGCCCCATCGGATTATTAGAGTGAGGGAACACAGAGTACACCTGTGCATGCTGCACTTGGGCACTATAATCCTGTCCTGCACCGTCGGCTAGTCTCCGTTGAGGCAGGCCGCCGTGACCGAAATTCGGTCGCGAGGACATTACTTTTATTCTTTAAAAATATAGAACAAAACTGATCTGTAATTATTTTTCTTGTCACACAGGTGGACTTGTGCATTGAGCCAGGACAGTCATTAGGGTTGATGATCAGAGGTGGTCTGGAGTACAACCTTGGCATCTACATCACAGGAGTTGACAAGGACTCCGTAGCAGACCGAGCAGGGCTTATGGTATTTTATTATTCTTCCTCTTTATTACATAGGTCTCATAGTTTTACGTGTTTTGAATAAGTAACCAAAGAGATCACTTATTAATTTTCTTGTTCTTTTATGTTTGGTCCCATCATCATCATTATCAGTACATATTATCTATATAAGTCCACTGCTGGATAAAGACCTATTTTTGTAAAACTGAGGTGACAAATGAGTTTACAATCCACCTAAATAGTAAGTAGCTACTGCAAAGAAGGCTACAGGTGTATTGTCACCTCTAAAACCACTTTATATAGAACACAAGAGGTAAAATTAAAAAAAAATTGTACAACCATCTTCAATACGACCGAATCAATGTATTTGAAGTTAATTAAACACGCATTATTATAGATAACTCAAAACTACTAGTCAGATCGATGACGAATCCATAAGGGTTCCGTTTTTTGCCATTTTGCTACAGAACCCTAAAAATGTTTACAACACTGTTCTTTACTGTGTAGGTGGGAGATCAGATCCTAGAGGTAAACGGACAGTCGTTCGTGGACGTGACGCACGACGAGGCCGTCGCGCAGCTGAAATATCACAAGCGTATGTCGCTGCTGGTGCGCGACGTGGGCAAGGTGCCACACGCGTGCACAGCATATGGAGAACGTGATGCAGCACCCAGGTTTAGATAGTTTTTTTTATATAATAATTGTGACAAGCGAGCACACAGTCCACCTGACAAGTGGATGCTACGGCCTATAGACATCTACATTTATCCTCGATTAAGAATCAAAATGTAGTTGCGTTGTCACCCTTGAGGACTGAGATGGAACGCTTCTTCTCACCATACGAAACACAAAACGTTCAGCTGTCTCACGCTGATATTGTGTAAGAGCGTGTTCTCCTACACCGATCAAGCCGACCCATTCGTGTTACAGCCACAAAGAAGTGCAGCATGGCTCTTATGGACGACACACGGTCAGTTCAACTGGTAATTGCAACTGATCACTTCAAACTGGGACTGTTGATATTTTTTTTAAATATCGGATTTTCGATATATCGATATTTATAATATATATCAATATCGGAATTATATATATAACTTTATTTATCGATATATCGAAAAAACGATATTTTAAAGAATATCGACAGTCGTAGTTAGAACTGATCAGTAGGAATGATTAGTTGAACTGACCGTGTGTGTCGTCCATTACATATAAAAAATTTATTATTTGCATACTAGCTGGTACCTGGCACGTTGCTGCCGCAGAAGAAATAATTGAGGAAATATCGTTTTAAATTTGAAAGAGTTATATTATTTAATTAGGAATGACAATGACGATGAGATTTTAAATAAAGTCGGTAAGATACGCGCCACCACCACCTACTGTAAGTTAATTCTAATATCTCTACAACCTTCGCGCAAGTGCAAGCAATAAGTTGACAAAGTTTTAGCGCAGTGTGATGAACGGGATAACGGTAGCGCACAAACAAAATATGAACAAACAAACATTAATTTTCACATATTTACATTTCTAACTTGAACACGAACTGTAGGTAGTGCCGGCATATTTTTTGACACAGAAGTTATATATTACACAATAGAACGGTTGGACATATAATAAGACAAAAAAATTATTCGATTTTTTATACAAACAACAGACAAACATACAGTCTCGAATATAAGTTTCTCATGTATCGTAGAGTCGTTTTACAAAATTTCACATGGACATACATCGAGAACTTGCTGATATTACTAACTGATCTTGAATCTTTTGTATACTTTAGAAACCAAAAGGAATACAAACATGTGATAATAAAACTTCACGTTAAAATCTTCATAAAGGTTTCTTTTCTCTTGTTAGATTTGCAAAGGTAATTATATCAACTTTATACAATCTATAGGTAATGATTGCCGGGCACAGATCCCCTTTGTTAAGGGAAGTGAACAGACTGGCTGGCAGGTTGGGAGGTTTCTGTGTAATATTTAATTCTGAGACGCAGTTTTGGATAGCTTTCTGTTTGTTATTACTTATAACTACTTAACAAACAAATAGAGAGCTTTGCCAGGAGTGATCTATGCTATATTTGATCCGAAAACCTTGGAGATATTTTTGAAAAAAATTGATAAAATCATCAGATGCTCGCCACTCTTATAGTTTTTTACGTGGTAGAGCCATGCTGCAGTTATATTAGTAGTATAGTTGATTAAAACTACTTTTACGGATTTTATCACGTTTATTTTTGCTTTTAATTACTTTTATTTTTAATTCCCGACGTTTCGGGCGCTTTCCAGCACCCATGGTCACGGGGGACTGAGATGACTGACGTCCCGATGTCATTGTTAAACCCGGAGTACCTTCAGCTTTTTTAATTATTGTTTATGGTCCGATCTATGCAAAATGAACTGACTATGTCTTGAGGTCTTGCAGTGGTATGCTTGGGTTTAGTTTTAATTTTATTGATTATAGGATCCCAAGCAGGTGGTAGTACCCAGCCTCCTTCTCTATTGAAATTAGGATGTTTTTTAATTTCAATAGCCTCACGTATCATCCTTGGTAGGAATCGGTGTTCTTTCGCGAGGATTTGTGGTCTATCAAATCTGATGTAATGGTTGGGGCCGTCCAGGATATGATCACAAACTGCAGACTTCCCGGAACGTTGATGCTTCACATCAGCTATATGTTCTTTTACGCGGGTTCTAATTGATCTTTTTTGTTTGTCCTATATAAGAGAGACCACATTCACAATCAAGCTTGTACACTCCTGCATCTTGTAGAGGAATATGACACTTGACGGATGGTAGGAACTGACTAATCTTCTTCGGCGGCTTGTAGAATGTTGTAATAGAAGCTTGCATCAAGATATAGCCAATCTTGTCTGTGACACCTCTGACATATGGTAGTACAGCAGGCACACGCTCGACTGTGGCCGGCTTCACTCGGTCACTGTGACGTAGGCGCGGGACCCGAAGCTTGTTGTCGTGCAGAACTTGCTTGACGTGCTGAAGCTCGGCGGCCAGGTGTTTGCTGTCACAGATCCCTCGTGCTCTCTGTAACAAAGATTTGCCCACGGTAGCTAACTGTGAAGGATGGTGGTGAGATTCACCGTTTAAATATCGGTTTGTATGGGTCTTTTTCCTATACACAGTGTGACCAATGGTGTTATTAGGATTTCGGATGACTAACACATCTAGGAAAGGTAAGGAATTATTTGCCTCTAACTCCATAGTAAATTGAATTTTAGAGTTTATGGAATTAAGATGTTCTAAAAATTCAGTTACTTTGTCTGATGGTAAAATTGTGAAAGTATCGTCTACGTACCGCTTGTAGATCCTTGGTGTAACAGATGCAGTAAGGAGGGCTTTCTCCTCAAAGTCTTCCATGAATATATCGGCGACAATGGGAGATACAGGTGAGCCCATCGCAACACCATCTACTTGCTTGTAAAACTCTTCCTTCCGTGGGCAAATCTTTGTTACAGAGAGCACGAGGGATCTGTGACAGCAAACACCTGGTCGCCGACCTTCAGCACGTCAAGCAAGTTCTGCACGACAACAAGCTTCGGGTCCCGCGCCTACGTCACAGTGACCGAGTGAAGCCGGCCACAGTCGAGCGTGTGCCTGCTGTACTACCATATGTCAGAGGTGTCACAGATAAGATTGGCTATATCTTGAAGCGAGCTTCTATTAGAACATTCTACAAGCCGCCGAAGAAGATTAGTCAGTTCCTACCATCCGTCAAGTGTCATATTCCTCTACAAGATGCAGGAGTGTACAAGCTTGATTGTGAATGTGGTCTCTCTTATATAGGACAAACAAAAAGATCAATTAGAACCCGCGTAAAAGAACATATAGCTGATGTGAAGCATCAACGTTCCGGGAAGTCTGCAGTTTGTGATCATATCCTGGACGGCCCCAACCATTACATCAGATTTGATAGACCACAAATCCTCGCGAAAGAACACCGATTCCTACCAAGGATGATACGTGAGGCTATTGAAATTAAAAAACATCCTAATTTCAATAGAGAAGGAGGCTGGGTACTACCACCTGCTTGGGATCCTATAATCAATAAAATTAAAACTAAACCCAAGCATACCACTGCAAGACCTCAAGACATAGTCAGTTCATTTTGCATAGATCGGACCATAAACAATAATTAAAAAAGCTGAAGGTACTCCGGGTTTAACAATGACATCGGGACGTCAGTCATCTCAGTCCCCCGTGACCATGGGTGCTGGAAAGCGCCCGAAACGTCGGGAATTAAAAATAAAAGTAATTAAAAGCAAAAATAAACGCGATAAAATCCGTAAAAGTAGTTTTAATCATGTGTAGTGTTCGCGTAAATATAAGAAATCATTATATAGTAGTATAGTTGTATCACGAATGGGTCGGCTCGACCGTAGCAGGACGATGCTCTCACAGAATACCAGATTAAAATAAAAGCTTAATACTGCTGTGTTTCGTATGATGAGTGTAAAGAACCGGAAACCATTTTTACTGGAAACGAGGCATTCTATCTTAGTCCTCACGGGTGACAACGCATCTGCATTTTGATTCGTATGGAGGATAGATGTGCTCGTTTGTCACACTATCCTATATAAAAAAGTCTTTAATGATCTCTGATCTGAGTCTTTAATTATCTTAAGCTTAAATATGAATAACGCCACACAAATAATATTCTTTCGTCAAGACCAATACACGCGTTTTCTCTTTTGTTTATTTATATATCACTCTGTTTTTATATGTCGAGAACTATTGGAATGCTTTCGATTGTTTGATTATGCATATAGATCAGACGATGCTCGCCACTCTTATAGTTTTTTAAATACATAAATTTACGAACAATAAATAAATAACTCTTCTTCAACGCCATACAGAATAAGCGGCTGGGGCAAAAGACGTGGAGCTGCCGCAGTAGCAGTGGAGCAGAAGGCAAAATCACTAATACCGCCCAGTGATCTCCCAGCACTGGCATACTACATGGAGGAGTATGCTGCACGCCGACTAACGCCGGATGCCTTCCTCACAGTCCTGCGAGATTTGCTCGACACACCACAGAAGGTAACGGTCGATGTAATATAAACGACGTCAAACGTCGATTTATAATAATATTATAATAAATTTTAAATATTTAAAGTTTGGAGATAATAATAATATTTTAATATCCAAACTTTAAATATTTCGAAAATTAAGGAATACATTTGTGGACCGAAGGAGTTAGTTAAATGTGCGATGAGCGGAAGTAAATTTAAATAAATAAAAAAAGTTTCAAGTAATTATTTAAATGTACCTGATGATTATAATTCGATTAAATAATCGCTGTTTCCCATCGACAATCGAGGTACTTTATATTTGACATATAAATAGCTGGATATTCGGCCATTTATATTTAAAGTAGGTACTTACCTAATTACGCACTACCAATATTTTGACAACAATGAATGAAAAAAAATCTAGTGGCAAAAATTTTAAATTGTAACACAAAGGAAATTACACGTTTTATTCATCAAAGCTTTTTCATACCTCCCCTTATATTTCAGAGTTGAGGTCACGAGCCATTTTTATGCCTATTATCCTAAAAGACACTATTAGGTGTGCCATATTGTAACCTCGCATTTGGAAGATTTTTGTGATTTTAGTAGTAGGTAACTTATAACATCAGTATATATAAAACCAATTGCAATATTAATCAAAATTTACTCTTTAAATTCTTACAACTCGTATTTATAATACAAAAAAATGTACTAAATAATTTTTATAATTTTTCGTATCATATGTATTATATAATTATTGGAAATCCTTTTATAACATCGAATAAAAATATTTTTAAAAAGAAGACTGACTTGCTAATACTTATGTTTTCTTTTATGTCGTGTTCGACTAAAAACATAGGACTTTTCTTAAAAGTTTTATTTTATCAAATAAGAATTACTGAAAATAAAGTTTTCCACATATTTTAATAGTTCCTGAAGTCAATCCTATAGAAAAACCAACATTTGCTTAAAATTAAGTATTTGACCCTTTTGAGTGGATTACATAATTACAGAAGTTGAATATACATATATAAGTTCAATATACCCATAAATTGTCTTATACTATACTGGTTGATTTTTTTACCATCTGGAAAAAATGGGGTATATTTATCAGGTGAACGGAATAGAAGCCAATGGTACAGATATTTTACAATTTTTTTTCCTTTTCAATAACATATTATGAAATTGAACTATCAATAAATATCACTAATTTGAAATAAGCTTTCGATAATAAAAAAATTAAGAAACAAAAATTTTGAACTAAATAAATAAATCAAATAAAAACTATCGAAATTAAAATAATACGCACCTAATTAGTAGTAGTTATTGATAGATCAATTTCATAACATATTAAGACAAAAAAAATTGGGAAATATCAGTGCCATAGACATCTCTTCCGTTCACCTGTTACACCCTATTTTTGTCCAGACGGTAAAACAAATCATCCATTATAGTCACAATAAAAGTTTCATCCTATATTCTTCCACCCTTAGGGCTGGGATTTTTACATAAAAAGTAAGTAAGTAAGTACTCTTGAGGTGTAGTATTTTAACAGAAGGATCATTAAAAGCGCGTCAAAAATAAGAATTGAAAACACAGTCCAATTTATAACATACTCCTTTTCCTAAGTTGGTTAAAGCAATCAACCGGTACACTCTCGTTCATATAGACGAAATAAGCGTTCGTAATAGAGCATCCACAGTGATAAAGGCTCTTATGTTGTTTATTTCACTGTAATGACTTGACGATTGTAATAAAAAAGGCATTCCTCAACGGGACCGGCAGGATCAGGCTGATGAGATTTATTTCTCACTAAGCAACGCGGAACGCTTTATGTTGGCTATAAACAAGATTATTTGAAGTAAATCGCGCATGTTAACCTCAACATGTTTACGATAATGGGCATTGTTTTTTCTTTAATTCATTCACTCCTCGTTCTTTTTATAAAGTCTTTCGTAACAAAAATCTTCCTAACAATTAGATGTTTTTATACATGAACACTAGAGAGATATCCTACATTCCTCTATGCAACGTATTATGATGGTAAGTAATATCCTTCCCACAGCTGGGCTTAGATCTTCTTTTACTTCTGTGAGGGCTTATAGAGCAGAAAAGTGGCCGCCGCGCTGTCCTTAAAACGCATTTACGGACACATTTTCGAAAAATTGTTTGTTAGACACTCAGGTTTCCTCACGGTGATTTCTTGCACCGCTGACCAAGAGGCAAATAATTATCACCAATTTTAATACATAACGTCAGCAGGCAAATTGGATTCGCAGTTTTTATTGTTCAGTTCTCAGGAAAATGCTGCTTTACATCTCGCGGTTCACTTTCTCTTGAAACTAAGACTTGATAGTAAGTGGATGCTGTGGACCACAGACATCTACATCCATCCTTGATTAAGGATCAAAATGGACCTGCATTTTGTTGTGGTGTCATCTCTGAGAACTTAGATGAAATGATTCGTTTCCAATAAAAAGGTGTTTGGGATATTTCTTTTAGAGACATCTCAATGTTTGATTTACAATTTTTTTAATAGTAATACTAGCAGGTGCCCGGCGTGTTGCAGCCGCAGAAAAAATTGCGAAGATATTGTTTTAAATTTGGAAGAGTTTTATTGTTTAATTAGGAATTATAATACATTCACTGAAGTTGAATGATATATAACTTTCAAATAAATTTTTCGTTACGATACGAGCGTCACCTAGGTACTAAAAGCACCTTTACGTGCTTTTTGAGGCGCGGGGGGTGAGACATTGCTAATTTTCAGACTCCGGGCTGCTGATGGGAATTTCAATAACACTTTTTGGCCCGACACGGGATTTAAATGCGAGACCTCATGATCAGCAATCGGGTTTTTTACGACCACTAGAACTACGAGGTAGTTTTTTTTTGTTATAAGTCCTACAGGAGGATAAGACCTGAGTCCAATGACAACATGAGAGAATTTTAGTGATGCTGATGAAAATCGAACTCAGTATATAACTGAACATAGACGTTGCCCTAATCAATAATAATTCACGGGTCGGCTCGACCGGGCAGGACCACGCTCTCACAGAATATCAGCGTAAAATAGCAGCGTAATTCTGCTGTGTTTCGTACGGTGAGTGTAGAGAACCGGAGAACCTTTTACTGGAATCGAGGCATTCCATCTTAATCCTCAGGAGTGACAATGCATTTGCATTTTGATTCTTAATTGAAGATAAATGTGGATATCTATGTCCCACAGCATCCACTTACCATCAATTGGACTGTGTGCTCGTTTGTCACACAATTTTATAAAAAACGTAATGATATATTGTACAATATTTCGCCATCTGTCGGAACTCACAAGCCAAAAAATTGAAATGATCACTGCAGTGCACTCTTTCGTTTCTTTTTCTTCAGCAGGTCTTGTAAACTCACAGCTAAAGTTAACCTTACCTTTGTGGCGAAGATTTGTCTTAAGTGTCACGCTTGCAGGCGGATTGATGGTCGCTGTATAAGAGGTTTCGCATCTTTGATTCTGCCGCCCACCGCCGGCTATTTACACCGACAATAATCTGTTAGGTATACCACCATTTATTGGAAGCCATATATATTTTATTAGTACCTTTGATAGTTATTTCTTACGACACCTACAGGAGTGATGGGACGTAAAGGGTAACGAGACTTCTTAGATAACCACCACACTTCATACACTCTTTTACTGGTTTATCATGGTATTCATTTTTTTTTCAATTTGGCAGTATACTCTTCTTACCGAAATTCGAGAGTTCATGCTACCTGAAGATCGACCAAGATTCGACGAATTAGTATACCGTCGGAACGAAGAAGCATCTGAACATCATGTTAAGGTAAAATATTCCCAAACTGTATAAAAACTCATTACTTTAGAACTTTATAAAATAATTACCATTATATAATTAAGGAAACATGTTTATTTAGAACTAAAACTACTCAGACAGACAGAATAAATACTAAATGATATCAGAGCCCAGTAACACAGAGCATATTTAACTATCCGTCCATCGTATTGATCATTAGAAGTGCCTTATAATTAAAGCTCCATTACATTAAACCACGAAACGAAATAAACATTACACACCTAGACGACACCGAGCTTGTGAGAAAAATAACACAGTTCATTAGCCCCAGCCCTCCGCTATCTCGTAATCCGCTCCTCTTCTAAAAGCACTAATTAGAATTTCTCGCTCTGTTAACTACGGTCCTGTCCAACACAGCTTGATAGTATACTTACTCAGTATTATTAGTTAGCCAATAGAAAGAGACGAGCTTTTCTATTTAGCTTTTAAAGCTTTCATTTAATTTTCAGTATACTATAAATATTCTCATAACAAAAGTTGGTAAGCACATTTGTAGTATTAAAGATTTATCTTGCTAGCTTTTTGAGAATTGCAGAATACAAATTATATTTTAGACATAATTTTTTTTTTTTTTATATACATTATATAATATATATATATAATATAATCTTTATTCTCAGAAAAACATGTAACAAAATTTTCCAAATTAAGTACGATTACAGGATCAGAGATCAGTATACTGGTAACATACTAGTAGGATATGGTTGACCGTTAGCGGCTGTACTAGTTTTATATTAAAAACTGTATTATAGACGCTAGCGCCTTCCACCAGACATTATAGGAAACAATTAGATCATTGCCCTGTTTAGTACTACATAATATTGAATCCGCTACATATGGAGTAAAACATTACATCTTCATTGATAATTGCGATAGTAAAACAGTTTTAATGACAACGAAGCTTCAATTCTTCGTAGCGCGGAGGAGAGCGGCATATGCTGCCATCATCCACCATGCACGATCTGCACGACCCGGTGAGTCACACGCATGTTGCTCTACATATTTTGCATGTTTCATGTTAAAAACTCAATTTGTGCTTTCATTGTATCAAAAATATAATATTCAGTGTTGCCTTTAACGCTTATATCGTGCATATTTGCTGTCGTGTATAGTGGAATGTTATTATCGTTCAACTCTACCTATAAAACCGTACAGCGGTACCAAACCATTCTAAACTTAACATGTATAAAATATTTTTCTATTTTGATAGCCATCTTTTATCAATTCCGTTGCAGGCATGTTGGGGAAGGGTTGGCGTATTAACAATTAATAAAGACAATAAAAAGATAAATCAGGACCAATGAAATATTTATACTTATTATAAAAATAAATATCGTTCAAATCAACCCAATTTTTTTTTAATGCCAGTGGAGCTCAGATGGAAAAAATATAATTATATTTTAAATTTAAATTGTGTATGTACACATAGGACTATATTTATACATATGTACATACAGAGTTATTTTTAACATTATGTAATATTGGAAAACTAAAAAATAAAACTACTAATAAACTAAAAAATATACCTGGATTGAAGAGCAACTTAGCGGTCAGCCGCCGTAGAGTCACATTACCTGAGGATGCCTCGTGTAGAGGCGAAACACGTGTCGTATTATCGTCGATGGTGTGTCTTACCTGGAATACTGGTGTTGGGAGTAGTGGTGCTGGGACTAGTGGTGACGGAGTTAGTGCATGCAATTGAGGGAGGGCGGGAGGCGCTCTTCAATCCAGGTAAGACACATCATTGTATTTATTTAACGGAAGGTTGCGAAGTAATTTATATTTTTTATTATAATGGATTTACGCAAAGTAACGCCTGATTCTATGAGTTATTGGAAAACTGATTATATTTTAATTAGGGATTTAATGTCATCATAAATAAAGTAGGAGAATTTATACAAAAGTTATGAGTTAGTCTATTTCGAGGAGTAGCAAGAAAGTGAATATCGGTGAGGTGAGTAGAGAGCTATATGTTGTAGGAGGGGCCATCGGAGGCACCGCTAATAGTGGACCACCGCTCTCCTTCCGAGGACTCCGGTCTGGGTCTACCAGCACACGACCACGCCTACAGGTGAATAGAAAGCTATACTATATATTAAAACATATCTTGTCATGACCACGATTAGCATTTAAAACAGTAGACTTATATGAAAACTATGATTAGACAAAATCAAAATAAGTAATAAGTACTTTGTCCCACGAGAACTCTTTAGGTGTACCACTCCGATGAGCGTAGCGTTAATCCTTCGCCGACTGACGACTCTTACAAAGCGCTAAGTGCAAAAGTACCTTTTACGAGTAAGTGCGAACGAGAAAAAGAGAGTCCTTGTCAGATTTTTGCATTCGTTCCCCTTTAAATATCACAGAGAAAATAATCTCATATTTTTTCCTAAGACCTTTCCACAGTGATAGCACAAAGTCATTTCATTGGCTTATCGCCAACACTCGTACTCAGCATAGTCGATTGTTTTATTACATCATGAAACGTTCGAATTTGCATCAACGTCAGTTTTCCGTCACTCATCCAGCATCCGTAAGGGTTCTTTTAAATTAACTGCCTGATAAAATAATTCTTGTTTTGATGGTCAAACGAAAATATTCTTTAAATGCCTTAAAATTTATTAAATTTAAAATTTCAAGTTTCATATTATAATATGTTCATTTTAACGAGTTACGTAAACTAAGAGACCTACTGACAATAATACATTAAGATACTGTTAACATTTTAAAACTAGCAAAATTCTATGAATGGAAATCATAAACAAAAGTCTAAAGTTGTAACATACGAAAATATATTTAACATGTCCAAGCATTAAGTTCGCATATTATGATACTGCAGTTTATGGTTTGTGATGAGAAAGTGACTTGGTGTTGTGTGGGGCAGGAGCGGCAGGACGTGGAGGGCGACCGACGCGCCACCGCCTGAAGACGACCTGGACCCACCCCACGAGGTGATTTTGCCAGAATTACCTACTTACACCTCTTGATATTCTATTTGTTGACCACATTCACTTTTCTGCGCCTTATCTAGCTATGATCTGGGTGTCACTCGACAGTTTTACATCACGAGGACAACATACTCGCACTTTTCTTTTAGTCTCTCCTTGTATTCTATAGTTGGTAGAACACTAGAATAGTTCTGATATAAAAATATTTCAGACGTATCTTTGAATGATAAACACAAAACCATGCTTAATGTCATAAATTTTCACTATCGTAAAACCTTCGTTAAACATAACAATATCCATATTAGCAGTAGATTCTCTCTCGCTTTTTCTTTTGTCTGCATACAAATTAATATAATGTGGTGGCAGACAGAGTGGCACCTCGGCACAACCACTATTCTATGTCATTCACATTTCTTGCATGACTCTATAACGGCTAGTGAGTTGCACATAAAACATACGAATATGGCCGTTATTTCCTTTAGATAAAGATTAGAGTACTACGGGGGTAAATCTGGCAAAATTTAAATCGAGTTTCATCTCGCAAAGTGGTCTAGAAGGATACCTAATTGGCATTATAATATGTGAATCGGCAATAGCGGCCAACTACTTTGTTTTAGACATCTATTATAATATTTTGATATTCTGAGTTGTATGTTTTAATAAATATATTTTACAGAAAACTAAATGTTTTGTGTAAAATATATTTATTTTTACGCAAAACTTTAAGTGAAAACAAAATGGTCATTAAATTCAATTTTAAAATGAATTTTTTTAATTTTATATACTCATATTAAACGCTTTAAAATGAATAGTTTATTTTAGCAGGTGTAGAGGATATAAATAGAAATACATATTCACATAGGCTCTTATTACAGTATTAAAAAGAGGTATTAGATTAACGTCGTGTTTAATACTTAGGCTGTATGTACATTTTAAACATCCCTAACATCGGCTCATTGGTCTAAGGGTATGATTCTCGCTTCGGGTGCGAGAGGTCCCGGGTTCAAATCCCGGACGAGCCCAACTCATTTTCATTTATATTAAAAAAATATTAAAATCTTATATACAATTTTATTATTCTCTTTGTATCCCATTGTATTTTTTGATGGAAACAGTTATTCAAATATACGAGTATATTATATTATTAAAAGGATTACATACACTCTTTTTTAAATATTTTCTACTTCAAAAAAGTGTGCTTCTAGAATATCACTTTAATGATTATATGTATAATATAAAGGTGAAAGATGCCATGATGAAATATAATTATTATTCTTTCAGTTTATTTTTAAGGAAATTTTTAAAGAAAGGTGTCTGTGCAAACGTGTAAACTGGATACCTGAGGGTGGATGTTAGATCATCCACCATGAGTGTATTAAGAAAAAATTCGAAAGGACAGGATGATCGTTTAATTTTTTTTATAATATCCTTCGGAATTTGACGGTATTATAATCTTGCGTATCCCAAAATTAAATCTTATGGACGCCACACACGGTCAGTTCAACTGATCATTCCAACTGATCAGTTCAAACTAAAACTGTTGATATTTTTAAATATTGGTTTTTCGATATATCGATAAATAAACTTATATATAAAACTCCGATATTGATATATTTATAATTATCGATATATCGAAAATTAAATATTTTAAAAAATATCAACAGTTTTAGTTTGAACTGATCAGTTGGAATGATCAGTTGAACTGACCGTGTGTGGCGACCATTAGGCTAATAGTCGACTAATGAACATACGAAAACACATTCGTCGGACAGATAGGGATATAACCACCTGAAATATTGTCATTTTCATTATCCCGTAAAATTGCAAGCTGACAACGTGCTTCCCCCATTATAGTAAGGATTTGGTAGATTCCATAGCCGCCACGCTTGGCTGGCGGATAGGTGATAAGAAAACCAGACATCTAACACCTTCGACGCTGCTTCCCGCGTCTGACCTAAACGGGTTCATTACATCACCATCTTTCGGAAGCATATATATATATATATATATATATATATTATAGATATCCCAGAATATCTTGGGATATTCATTAAGATAGGAATTTCCCAAAAACAGACGAATAGGGGTGATAGATTCTCGCTATTAGCACCGCCCATCGCACCATGGGTCACCGACACTCGTCGTAGAAAAATTCACATCTTACAAATTCCAATCACAGACGTCTGTCCTGCGAGGTGATTGACGCAGCAGTAATTTCCACATCTTGAACATTGAGAGAAATCCATTTGCACATCTTGAACATTGAGAGAAATTGACTTAAAAAAATATTTCACTGTTTTCATTGCTTTTTATCGACTTCAAAAAAGACTTACAAACACGACAGACATGCATCCAAAAAAGAAAATACTTTTTTGTATATATTACGCAACTAAACGGCATAACTAAAGGGCCGGCAACGCACCTGCAATTCCCCTGGTGTTGCGGTTGATCATGGGCGGCGGTAGTCACTTAACATCAGGTGAGCCGCATGCTCGATTGCCCCCTCTGCTTAAAAAAATATCCCGGACGTCAGTCCGAGCGAGATCAGAATGGCTCTCCAGCACCTTAAAAACGGCAGGGCCCCAGGCGAGGATGGAATTACAGCGGAGCTTCTGAAAGCGGGTGGAACACCGGTACTTGAAGTCCTTCAGAAGCTCTTCAATTCCGTCCTCCATGATGGCACTACTCTGGAGGCGTGGAGCAGAAGTGCGGTGGTCTTGTTCTTTAAGAAAGGCGACAACGCTCTCTTGAAGAACTACATACCGATTTCCCTTCTGAGCCGCGTCTACGTGCTGTTTTCGAGAGTCATTACGAATCGTCTCGCACGCAGACTCGACGACTTCCAGCCTCCCGAACAAGCCGGTTTCCGAAAAGGCTTCAGTACCATAGTCCACATACATACCCTGAGGCAGATTGTACAGAAGACCGAAGAGTACAATCTGCCACTTTGCCTGGCGTATGTGGACTATGAGAAAGCCTTTGATTCCGTCGAAATTTGGGCGGTGCTACAGTCCCTTCAGCGGTGCCAAGTTGACTGTCGGTATATCGAAGTGCTGAAGTGTTTGTACAGTAGGGCTACAATGGCTATCCGAGTACAGAACCAGAGTTTGAAACCTATCCAACTGCAGAGAGGTGTAAGACAGGGTGACGTTATATCCCCGAAACTCTTCACCGCTGCGTTGGACGACGTTTTCAAGCTACTGCACTAGAAAGGATACGGTATTAACATCAATGGCGTAAAAAGTACATCACTCACCTTCGATTTGCTGACGATATAGTCCTTATGGCAGAATCGCTGGAGGACCTTAGCACTATGCTCAATGACCTCAATAGTGTGTCTCAATGGATAGGTTATTAAAAAGCTTGTGATAAATCTCCGCTTAATTTTGGTTTTTCAGGAAGAAATATTTGTGATTCCTTTTTGTGGAAAGATATTAGATGCTTCCTTAAGCCTGAAGTGTTTCGGTTTTTCATTTTTATTTCATCCTTTTTATGTTGGCATAATTTAGACAAAGCAATTTGGGATGCGTGAATTATGTCGAAAAACTCATCAAATTTACTTTTAGGTCTTTTAGATCTATAACTCCAACTCTCACTACTCCGACTAGAACTATTCGACTCTTCGTCACTCATGTCAAATTGTAAACTTATCACTCCGAGAACAACAAGGATTAGAGTAAAAACAATTAATACATTAGACTCAAAGCAAAGCTCAATTGGGAATGACTGGAATTAAAATAAATACTACTATTTGTAAGTACACACCGAAAGACCGACAAAGGAAAGATCGGCATCCTTTGATAAAATTAATGATTCTTCAGAAGATTAATAAAGTGTTGCCAGATAGGTATAGTGTGCCTACGTAAAAATGAAATGTAAATATGTAAATAAAACTGTGTATATTATGTTCTTCTTGTGATTGAATTAATCTACGTTAATTAAATTAAATTTGCCTTCACTCGTTTGAAATTCAAAATTCAAATATGTTTTATTCAAGTAGACATTAAAAACATACTTTTGAATAGTCATATAATCACTGTTTTCCCCAATTTTTTCTTTTCCATGTCCAGACGTTCTGATTCTACTGAGAAGAATCATGGAAGAAAGTAAGAAACTCAGTAGTTGCTCTTTTCAAAATATTTTTACAATAGTTCTATAATTATGTAAAGCGATAAGTCAAACATAAAATGTCAAATGTATATGTAGATACCAAATCGGTTTAGAAATTTCTTGTTAGTCCTGTGTAGTACGAGAGGTCAGTTCCAAGCATTTTTGTCTGACTTAAATTGAAAAGGTGAAAGATCTACATATATTTTGGAATCTTATTATAAAAGCGTATATCGCTACCCAAGAACGCATTATATACTTTGTGTAACCTGAAAGCAGGTATTGTGATTTTATTTTTATTTCTACTATTAAAATTGTGCAAATCACTATTATTTACATCAATTCGATGCAATCAATTTCTTTAAACGGTTCTCTAAGAGATACTCGGGCTCCTAAAAAGTACATAGATCTTATTTTACGCTTTTTGTTTAATATGCACACTTTTTATATTATTCGATTAGCATTGAACAAAATGTTTACACGTTTCAAGTGTGTTAAAAGTGTCTACAATATTTATCAAGTGGGTGACGACATATTCGAACACTTTGTGTTCAAAAACACACACTTCCAAGTATCGAGATTTGCAGTGAACTTATTGAACATGTTTATCTATTAGGTAATAATAATAATAGTAAATACGAGGGTGGATTGAAAAGTACTCGGCCTAACACAGATCCATTCAATTCTAAAAATTAAATCTACCCACATTATTTAGTTCAGTTCAGACTAATTCATTGTGTGAAGTTCGAAACGTGTGCGATAATTAGTTGTGATTTTATAAATTTATTAACAAAGTAATCGGACATAATTTCCGCGAATGGAGCAAATCGAGCAGCGTGCCGTCATTAAGTACCTCCATAAGAAGGGGCTATCATCAAAAGCCATCCATGATGACA